AGGACCTATCCATGTCATCATTTACCCAGAATGCTTTGTGTGTAAATAAAATGGCTTTGTTCGTGTTAAAAAATATTTTTAAAAATTTACAAAACTAAACATCCTACAGTATTTCTACAGTCTTTATTTTACAGTTAAAATATATGTTTATCAAATAAAGTATAATGTTACAACTAATCGGGGATCCCTTTAAGAAAGAATGTCAGTGACACCACTTCTTTGTTTTTCTTGAGAAACAGTGCCTGTTGAACTCACGGGTTTGTCCTTGATGGTGGGGCTGGAGACACACAGGTAGAGCTTCCCATCCTCCTCCATGCAGGCCTCGATCAGGGCCTGAACTGAGCTCTCCTCCTGGAACAGCAGGAAGGCRTACCCTGTGGACAAATACCAATATAAAGGTGTGGAGTAAGAACATATAGGTTCACAGCTTGGTTATCACAGCTGAAAGGCAAAAAGCAGGTGATAATGATTTTTTTCAATCAACCACTGAACAATTTTTCACAATACTTCGTCATCAGCAACCCAGCAATAAGCATTCTGTGTTGTAGGGTAATAACTTATTGAAGTAAGCACATCGCCCTCTGCCGTTCATACCAGAGTTTTAAAGGGGCAATATTATGTGTTTCTCAGGCATATATTTAAATACTATACCATAATAAAGTATCTATGTCATCTTTAGTGGTTATTAAAATGCTGTTTTTATGTTTAAATAGAAAATAAACTTATCTTCTCATCACTTCCTCTTCTAAACGCCTTGAAATTGGCCTCTGTCTCTTTAAGAACCACCTTCCGCTTTCAGGGTGTGTGTGTGTGTGTGTGTGGGGGGGTGCTTCCCGCATGCGCTATGATGCAGTTTACTTGGCATCTGAAAATACATTTCCTCAAAGGTATTTTGATTCTGAAAAGAGCTTCACTGAGTGAGAAGCATTGTTAAGAGCAGTAGACAGGTTAAGTTTCACTTTCAGTTTCACTCGTTTGCTTTGTTACTGCCGAGAGCCTGCAGAAGTCATGGGCGGGGTGTGTGGGGTGGGGGTGGGGAGGTGTGCTCCGTGATGAGGAAGTTCGGCTTAAAGACACGTACCAAAAGGCGTTTCTGCTCCCCACCTGTCGTTTTGCTCCTCAGCATGGCTTCTTAAAAATGCTGCAGGATTTTTCAAACATGCATGAATGAGTCAAAGCAAGGCTTTGGGCATGTTTTTATGAGAGTATAACATTATAACATGATATAAAACTCAAAAAAATAGATTTTACATGATACTGCCCCTTTAAACTAAGATCATCATTTGTTGAGAAATGACGGAGTTATTGGTTAAACCTTAGCGGTGGCAGCCATCTTTGAATCAAGCTGACACTAAAAGTAAATCAGTTGCAGATGTACAACTTATGATTACTTCCTGGAAGTTAGGGTTAGTGTCTATTCTGCGTCAAAATGCCTAAATGAGTTTAACTCTTATTATATCGAACAGATCAAACAAGTCAAACTACGTCCTTTTAGAGTTTAAAGTTTCAAAATAAACGGACTCTTATCGTGGTCATTGCAAAGCTGCTGCACGCTTTTACCAAGAAAAGTCTTTGTGCCGATAAAGTTTGCATTAATTTCCTCGTCTGCAGCGCRAACTCACTGGCTGGAAAAAATGAATAAATCACAGAAAGTTTAAATCTGAAAGGAGTCCAGTCACTCTTTGCTCAACCCACAGCTGGTTGGTCTGTGAGGCTGTCCGTCAGCACAGCCAGCGATGAGTAATGTGTCCGAACATGTCCGAATGCACAAACTTGCACGTTTTATTTATTATTTTACTCCAATTGGAGGCAGGAAAGATGGGGGTGTCTCTGCTCCCCCTCCCTACATGCTTGTTTTCTGAATGAGCTGAGGTTGTAGTGAATTATACACCTACACTTCTTTTAACAAAGTGTTGTAAGGGAATTCACAGGTTCTTCTGTTTAAGGAAACAAACAACCTCTCTGTGTAAATATGAGACCACACAAATAAGACAAGACTTTAGTCAGTGAATTCAAGTTGATCAAGCAATAAACAAGATCATTTAGTTATAGAATCAAAATAAATCACTAATGTACAGCTTATTGTGGATAATCAAATTTTGTTAAGAGTTTTAACAACAACAATCAGTACGCATCCACACTAATTAACCATCAATATGACAACTTTAACAGAAACAGCAGAACTTCAGGTTTTAGGTCTTAATAAACCAGATGTTTGCAGGTACATTAAACGTAGATGGCAATGCAAAAGTCAAGAAATAGAAGGAAAGGAGGATGTTAGCCCTAACTTTTTATCTTATCAATATGTGAGAAAACCAGAACGAGCACTTGCGTCTCTCGGTCGCGTCAGCCGGACGCCGGTACCCTCATCAAAACATTCAGCCTCTACCTGGAGGTGTCTTCACTGAAAGGGTCAAGTGTTTAGGAAGTTTCACCCAGGTCAGCAAGAAACTCCAGTCAGGTTCCTTACTTCTAGGGCTGCAACTAACGATTGTTTTAATAATCGATTAATCTGTCGATTATTTTTTCAATTAATCGGCCAAATCACTAAAACGCTTAATTACATGGAATATAAATAGATATAAATTAATTTAATTCCTGTAT